CACAATGATCTCCTCTTCTGCAGCACTGTTAGGGCTGCAGTCAAAGTTTTGATGCAGTGTTACAAATCATAGAACTGTAGGATGGTTTGGGATAGAAGGGACCTTTACAAACCATCTAGTTCCAGACCCTACCTGGCATTGGCCTAGGCACTTTCCAACTGTTCAGTTGGGTGATGTGCCTCAAAGAGACACGAGTGCAAATGTGTGTCTAGCTAGTGCTGGGGGAGGAATGAATGGGATCAGAACTAATTCTTCTTCCCTCTTTTCTCCTGTACAATCAGTCTGCTTGGCTCAGGAAAAATGGAGGAGAACAAAGAAAATGATCTTCAGCCTCCATTACCTCAATCTTATGCAGCAACTGTAGCCAGACAAAGTACAGTGCCTTCAACTTCGACCATGCCAGGTAAGCACCACACCTGCCCTTTCTTGGAGCAAAGAAAGCAAGACAGCCCCTGGAGCAAAGCGGGAAGTCTCTGAACAATAAGATGTTCACTCTAACCATAAACAGCCCATGTGCAAGGCACACTGGGGTAGCAGGGCCTTCTGCAGCTCATCCAGTTCATTCTATTGGGAATGGGTCACTTATTTTCTGCTCTGCTTGCCCGGACCCCTTGCCAGGCAGCTGCAGTCCATTCCTGATAGGTAGTGTTGATTGTGATACCTTTCCCTTCTGCTGCCCCCAAATGCTCTGCCAAATGCCAGAGAAATCAGGATGTGTTAAAACACTGATAACAGCATTACAGCTGTTTGTTTCTAGCCTCATAGCACCCATTTATCAGCAGTGCTTTGCATTTCCACTTCTGCAGGTTATTCGGAGGATGGTGGTGCCCTGCGAGGAGAGGTTATCCCAGAGCATGAGTTTGCAACTGGACCAGTGTGTCTCGATGACGAGAATGAGTTTCCTCCTGTGAGCATTCAGGACCCCTAAAACAGCAATTCAACCCCAATGCTAAGAAGAAAGTACTAACCTCTTACAGAAGAAATTCTGTTGCCCTGACCTTGTCCCAGTTAGCTGTGAAGCTTAAAATAACTAATTCAGGTATAGGGAGAGTGCCAGGAACATCACACCCCTACTACATGGCAGCTGGGATGGGGCAAGGATGATCAGCCTCATAATTAGAGAGAGACCTGAACAAATGAGCAGAATGAAGTTCAGATGCAGAACGGAGTTCAGACCCAGATCTGACCTTTGTGCCTTGCTCAGATTTCTAGTATTATCAGGAATAGCTTTAATTTGAACAATGCCGTCATTTAGAAATAAAAACTTAGTTTTCCCTGTTGCATTTTCAATCAGTTGTATTAGCTTATGGAAAACAACTGGAACATACCTGAACCTCATCAGCCCTCTGGAAATATCTCATTTCCAGAAAAAGAAACAAAGCAAAACAGATTTTTAAGCCATTGTTTTGGTTTTTTTTAAGTGGCACTTTCTCAGTTACTGTTGGAAGAACATACTGGCTTTATAAAATCTAACTTAAGCCTGGCAGTGTCTCTCCCGCTCTTCTTCCTGTTATATAAGCATTTATGGTGTTAAATACTTGACCCCTAATTGGACAGATATTGCTTACAGTGCTGTGATCTGGCTGTAATCAGCAGCATCTTCATGATAGTAATGCATTAATACAGCAGAATACTGTAATGGATTTCAAGCTGTAGACTTGGCAGACTTTGGAATTCCTTATTCCACTTTCACATATCCTGCTGTTGGAGATTTGCCTGAAGAAGGAGGAAGCAAAAATTTCATTGGGATCCCAGGATTTGTTCCATATGCTGGGGCTGACCTCCTCTGTAAGGCACTTTCAAATTAAGTGATGCAAAGAGTTATTTATATAAAAGATGACTAATTCGTGCCTCCCTTTGAAACTCTGCCTAAACGCAGCTCTTCAAGTCACATAAATCTTAGACCGATTCTCTTTACCTGTACCACAGCTTGTTGGAGACAGAGAACAAGAGTTTTCTATTTCTCCTACTCCATCCCCTAAGGAGGACATTTCAGTGTCTCCCATCTGGTCAAAGCCCTTTGGGCCGCAGAGCAGCTGGAAGGAATATTTGAGGAGCAGCACAGCCAGAGAGAAATCCTTTGCTTCCTTCTGACGAACCTGCTCTTTGAGCATGTGGTTTGGGGCCATGCAAATGCCAGCAAGCAGGAACCACGCTGCTCCTGAATGAGCCTGCCTGCTGGGACTGCGCTGTAAAAACCAGCCCCAAACCCCTGCTGTACAGGCAGGGGTTTTATTAAATGGACTTTGATCTGTCCAAATCCTGTGCTGTAATTAACCTAACGGAGCAACTTACATGTGTAATGTTAGGGAGGAGGTGGTGTGAGAGGGAAGGAGCTTTCCAAAAATACTCCCTGATACGGCAGCTTAGCATTTGGAGCTTCCAGATAAAGTGTGTACAGTCAGGACTTCAGCTTTGCCCTCCATTGCTGACGGTGATGTGTTTTGCATCTGCTCTGCTCGCTGGTGCAGTGCTGGCTCCTGCTGTGTGCTGCATAGGGAGACTCAGTTGGGATGTTTTGATGTTCTGAATTTCACTCAGCTTTGCTGTTTTCTCAGTGCTGAGCAGTTTGGTGACTTGTCCAAGAGGGGTTTCAGGGATCGGTCACTTCTGTGCGGAGAAGGAGGGAGAAGAAAACTGACCTTATCCAACAAAAATGTTTTGACAGCATTCTGTTTTGTGGAAACATGGGAAGGGTTTTGTTTGTTTTCCAATGTGCAACAAAAAGACATTTAAAAACCTCAAAACTTGTGACAAAATGGAATATTTACCCACAGCCCACGAGCACGGCTTTGAACTCAGACGTACTTCTGGAGGAACAGCAGTGCTGAGACCCAGCGGATCCTCTCCATTTTGAAATGGTTTGCCTTCCCCTGACCTCAAGTGCTGGTGAGCAAGACTTCAGAGGCTCAGCTGTTAATAACAAGGAAATGCAGCATCGGTCTAATGCACAATCTGTGGCTGATGGTAGAAAACTGCCTCTTCATTAAATGGAAGGAGGGACAGGTCAGAGAAGAGATAAGCACAAGGATGGCTTGTAAAAACACCTCAGTAAGAATGAATGTGGCTATTGCTATTGATGATGCCAGCACTGCTGAAGTATCCTGTAGCAAGAGGTTAAGTTCAAAGTTCAATTACGTGTCTTGCTTACACTGATGGGCTGGATTAAATGCTCTCAGGTCTCCTAGGGGCTCTGGAGTAACTGCGATCTTCTACAGAAGGTACTCAGGCATTTTTGAGATGGACAGCAGGCTGGAGGAGAAGGTGAAGAGAAAATGCTGTGCCTCAGATGGGCTCAAGAAAGCAGCATTGCACCTGAACTGAGCAATTGGACGGCGCCGTGGGAAGAATGAGCCCAGCTCTGGCTGCAAGCAGTTAGGATGGTCCCTGCCATTCTCACCAAGCAGTTGCCACCTCTCTGCAGGTTCATTGATGTCACTGAAGCTTCTAGCAGTGTCAGAAACGTTGGTGTGTGTTCACAGCTGGCTGCTCAGCCTCAGCAGGCACTGCAGGGTAGGGCTGTGAGGTTCCACAGAAGAAATTCCATAGGATTCAGTAGGAGTGAAGCCAGATGGTGCATGTGGCATGTGTTTATACATGAGTAGCTCATGTGAAGTGTTTCAGAGTCTTTGCTGCTCCCACTTTGCTCTCTCTGGCTGCTTTATCACTAAATGGTTTTGGTAATACTTAGGATTGGTTTTGCCTTGCCTTGTTCAGGTTGGATATTAGGAACAACTTCTTATCTGAAAGCATGGTCAGATGTTGGCACAGCTGCCCAGGGAGGTGGGGGAGTCCCCACCCCTGCAGGTGTTCCAGAACAGTGCAGATGTGGCACTGAGGGACGTGGTCAGTGGGCACAGTGGGGGCAGGTTGGGCTTGGGGATCTTAGTGCTCCTTTCCAACCTTAATGACTCAATCACCCTCTAATTCTATAATTCAGTCTGCGTTTCATCTGCAGTCCCCAGTGATGAACATTGCGCTCCGTTCTCCTACTGTGCCAAAGCTGAATTTCTAGGGGACTTAGTGGGGCAAACACAGCTCACCCAGAGTGACCCCAGTCCTGCAAGCAGGGCTGCACTCAGTGCCGTGCCCACCCCAGGCAGGACACAGCACCAAGGCAGCTGGTTCCAGTTCCCAAGGCTTTAAATTTGGGGAGGGGGAGAGTAAATAAATAAACCTCTGACAAATCTGCCTTTGGATGGAAAGTAAAACACTGCAGGACATCCCTCCCCTTCTCCTCCCATGTACGTAAAACCAACTTGAAACACACCCCGTTGCTGGGAAAAGTAAGGCTGTTCTGTTTTGATTTTGGTAGATAATCTTGTGCCGTGGAGGTCAGCCGGGCAAAGCGAAGAGGTCATGATGGAAGCAAACATCCGTGTGTAGGACAGCTGCTGGGAAGTGCTTTGGAGCAGCCAGGAATCTCGAAGAACAGATTTGTGAGTCTTCAAGAAGACTAAAAAATCCAAGGTGGGCCACTGCTTTTAACTAGAGTACGTGTAAGTGAATAGCTGGTCCTGCTCACCCCTTGTTTTTAATCCTTGTCTGGGTGGGGTGTCCATGTACTGTATGCACGTTGCTATATTTAACAAACCATATGTTAGAACCACATTGTAAATGCTAATTTAATCAGATCTGTATGTAACCAGGATTTTATATACCTGTTTTACCCATTTCTAATTTATGCTGTTTTATGTGTATAAATGTACTTATAGGAAGATATATTAAACTTATGTCTTTGTACAGTACATACTATTTTACCCAAGCAAAGTATTTTTGCAGTGACACAAGAAAAGATGCGATTTGCTACAGCTAAAGACAGAATAAAGTCACAGTCCGTCCCTGGCAGCTCGCTGCCCGTGCTCCTGCTGTTCTTTGTGGGGCCCTAAAGATGTCAGTCTTGATTAAGCTTTAGCAAGTGGGTTTGGGGCGCTGCTGAGAGGTTGGTGGCTCCAGCACCATCCGGACCCAGCCCAGCCAAAGCCACACTGTGCTGCTGTGGGAGGCTGTGGGCCAGTGCTAATTGCAAACGGTTGGGCAGCCCCTCTAATTTCAGCAGCACTGCCCGTAATTACAACTCCCAGTTTGCTGTGGCTCATGTAACACCTTGCTTTGCTTGAAACAAGCCACTTACGGCTTGTCCAAAGAAAGACCTGGGTGCGTAATTTGGAGTCCAAATGTGTTTCAGAAAACCCTCACTCAGCTGCTGGGAAATCCTGGTGGTTTCTGAGTTTCAGCTGCAACTTCAGTTTTGCCTCTGCAGCTCCTCAGGCTTTTGCATGTGCCCACAAATGTCCCACAAGAGCCTCACCCAGCCCTGCATCATCGCATCAGGGTTGGCAGAAGCTGAGTCTGCCTGCAGTGCTGGGCTGCCTGGAGACCTTGGGACCCTCTCCCTGAGCTCCCTAAAAGACGCAGATACAGAGTTGACAGGGAGTAGTTCCCCCAGTTCTGCATTGCACACTTGTTTACACAAAGCCTTTCAAAATATCAGGACTCAGACACTCCTCCAAGACAATTTCTGACCTCTGCTATGCAATGCACAGCAGCTGCAGGACACACCAAGCATCCCATCTAACAAGATGTCAGGGACATGTAGCCCTACAAAAAGCCCAGAGCTACCAGGTGCTGCAGTGACTGCTCCAGCCAGCAGACAGTGCTGCTCTGCATGAGCTGCAGCAAAGGGGACCCTCTGTCTGCTCCCTCAGACACAGCTGAGGAAAGGCTCTGTGCAAGGCACAGAGCACGGGGAGCTGCAGCCTCCATCCCTGCCCTCTTGGGCCAACCTCAAGCCTGCAGCCAGCACAAACAGCAGTCCCATTCACAGAAACCAGGATTGGAAAAGAAGCAACTTGAGCAATGATTTGCTTACAGACAAAGCCGTGTTGCTCTTCTGTCCGTGTGCTGGTCCAGCGAGGCTGTGTGAGATGTGGGTGTGTGGCACCGGCAGGCCACGTGCTGTGTGCTGCAGCAGGGCACTGCTGCTGGGTCCTTGGAGTAGTCTGCAACCGTGATGTTGTCTGTTGCAATATCCTCCAGGGCCTGGGCATAAGCCCTGCTGATTGCAGGCAGCACTGCCTGATACTCCCTGGATGCCACGTCCAAAGGCTCCTGCTCCTGGATATCACGATCCAAGTTGAAAATGAGCGGTGGCCAGTGATGCTCTTCTAGCCCAATGCTTCCATCACAAGCCTTCGCCCCTCCTAGGGGGGAAAAGAGAAACACAGTGCAGTGCCAGGCTGCTCACCCCTGCCCAGGTATCACCTCCGTGATGGCCCTTTGCCACCATGGTGGCTTTGGGAGCCCTTTGCTAGGCTAAGTGCTTCTGAAGCACCAGCACTACGACACGCGCACGCTCCTTGCTGGGCTTGTTCTTGTTGGTGTTAATCTGATTTGGTTTTCACCCATCCCTGCAGGGAATTGAGAACTCCAGAAGCTGTTGTTCTGACTTTAGGCTCTGTAAAACAGCTGCCCTACCTGTGGTGTAGAACACCTTGTACTGAGCCAGCCGCAGCGCCTCGACCGCCCCGTCCTTCCCCACTGCCCCGCTGTTGGGGTGAAGCAGAATCTGAAAGAAGAACACAACACAGCCCACTGCAGAGAAAACCTGCTCTGTCCCAAGATCTCCCAACATGGGGTCACCTTCCCAATAAAAGCACACATTTAGAGGCACTGCTCAGCCCAGGAGCTGCAGCATCAACCCGAGTTCTGCCTGCTGTGCCCAAAAAGGGAGTCAGGGTGAGGAGGAAGGGAAGGAGGGAGGGGTGGGTCGAGTCTCTGCTCTTTGGTATTTAGGACACTTGATGCCTTGGCACATGGCAGTGAGGAGACAAGTGAGCTGGACGGTGCGGCGTGCGCGTCCCTCTGATCAGATCTGCTGCAGAGCCAATGGCTTCACTGAGTGATGAGTCACCAGAGGTTTCCTCCCTGGGAATTGAATTTAAAAGTGATTCAAGAAATTTCCACTGTGCTAAAAATTAGAAACATCTGCCGAAGTTGTAGGCAGCTGCGGTGCCAAGTTTAGTAACAGTGTTCACAGCTGATCAGCACTGTAATGACCTAGCAGGTGTCCGGCGCAGGGCCCCGCAGCACTCATTGCTCTGCCTGGCACCCCCAGCAGAGCCACAATTCGGGGGGGAACTTCCCATGGCTCTCAGTTTCCTTTATTGCCCTCAGTTACAAGGCAAGAGAGGCAAAAACGCCATCCGAAATTTAGTTTTAAAACGGTATTTTATGGGAAAAAAAATGAAAATCTGAGCTGAGGAGGTGGTGTGGTGTACGTCTGCTGCAAGGAGGAAATCCGTACTGCCAACCGCTCACGTTGGCAGCCCTCTGGAAGAAGCAGGTGGCTCCACAGCAGAAATCAGCAATTATTTTAGGGTGCTTGAAGCCCAACTATCAAGAACTGAACCTGTCTGCTTCCAGCTTTACAGCTCAGCTTTGCTTGTCTCCTTTAACTTGAGCAGCACGGGCTGGATGGTGCTGTATGGCTGCAAAGCACCGAAACAAACAGCAAGCTTGCTCTTGAGCTGCCTCCTGGAGCCCCAGCGCTAAGAAACTCACACATAAAGACTTTGCTTCAGCCAAGCCCTTTCAGGAAACATTCCCAAGGTTTGCAGCCAGTGACTTTGTTATTAAAAACAAGAAGAAATAGGAAGAAGAAAGACAAACCCTCCATCCGCACGTAGAGCTCCGGGCTGTTTTCACAAATGAGCCATGCATGGAGAGGAGGAGCACAGCCCTCTGACATTCCGCTAATGGAAAGAGCGTATTTGTTTGACACTCGTACCCTTGATACATTTCGTGTGATGTGTTTATTTTTACTGTAAATAGCCTTTGCTCAAAACAGGGCCTTGGCTGCTGCCCAGTTCCGTCACAGGTTGTGCCGGCGCTGAGCCGGGCTGGGACACAAGCAAGGTTACGGCCGCACCGTGAGCTCAGCCCCCACCCGCCTGAGTTGGAAAGCAGCTGTCAGCAGCGTGCGTGGATCCAGCGGCCGGGCGAGAAGAGGAACTGCTCTGGGAGGATTTGTGTCAAGGAAAACCCTGCGACATCAAAGGTGGTTTTGCCATTAAGAGATGAAAGCGCCGCGTTCCCGCTGCTGAGCCGGGAGGGGATGAGCGCAGATGAGCGGAGCACGGGGAGATGCTCACTGCACACATCTGCAGGGCTGCAGGGATGGGCAGGGACAAACCCTCCTGGGACAGAGCAGCTAGGACAGGGAGGGCCCTGATAGCAGCACAACACCCCCGAGAGCACCGGGGTAGCAGCCCGAGTTTGAGGGTTCACCTCCTGGTCCCAAGCACGTAGTAAGGGCTGGTGAGGGCGGCCCCACACTGCTGTGCCTCTGCAAGAAGAGGGTTAATCCCTGAGCCACGTCCCATCCGCTCCCACGGTTTATCTCACAGTTCAGTAGAGGGTTCCATAAATACGAACTAAATACCAAAACCCTGATGGACGCAGCTAGCAGATCCAAGATTCCTGCTGGGAGTAGGCTCGTGGTGCTCACAGGAGAGCCGAGTTGAAAAGCAAAACCAGGCTCTATCTGTGGGTCTGCTTTAAAGCCAAACTTCTTTTTATTCGGTTCAGTGAAAAACTTGTAAAATTCTGAGAAAAATATATTGCCGTACTTCTCGTTCTGGTAGCTGCGTTTCTCATGCCTAAAGGAGCTCCTATTGTTGGAGGGGCAGAGAGCTGCAGGGCACGGTGCTGCCTGCCCCACTCAAACATCAATAACAGGCACGTTTCCGAGCCAAGGAGCTCAGAGAAGGAGTGCTTAATTACATCTCTATCTGTCAAGATCAATAAAGTAGATAGAAGGAGGCCTGAGCCCCAGGGATCCTTTGTTTCCCATGCCTGTGCACCTCTCGTGGCCAGGAAGGAGCAGTGCCACGCTGTGCCCGTGGGGCCGCAGGAGGGACGATGCTCCGGTTTGAAACCATTTCCCCTTGTCTTATCACAACAGTCTCCACTAAAGATTCTGTCCCTCTCCTTCTTACAGCCCCCCTTTAGATCCGAGGACGTCCCCAGGATGGGGCTCTCCTTACCTTGTGTCCCACGTCTGACAGCCCGAAGAGAACCGGGGACACGTCCATGCCATCAAAGCGCCTGTTTGGGGGAAGCGTGGCTCCAGCCAGGGCCACCAGCGTGGGAAAGATGTCCAGGGTGCTGGGGAAAGAAGCAGGTTCCATCAGAGTACAGAGCAAAGCCCCCCAGCCCCACCTGCACCCGCTACCCCTTGCTTGGGGGACCCTGGGTGCTTCTCTATAGCAGAGCAGGGTGCAGCCCCCGCCACGTCGTCCCCCCGTGCACATGGGGAAGGCCCCAGGTCACCCAGCACAGAAAATGCTAGCACAGGGACTTTTTACGCCAATCCCAGCAGATCCCGCAGCCCCAGGAAAATGTGGTCTCGCTTTTGCCTCGCACAGCACGAGCCATAGCAGCCAGAATGGAAAATGAGAGCGGTGCTATTTTGTGCACTTATACCAAAATGCCTGTCAGCATTTCCACCATAATCCTCTCTTTTCAGGGGCCTCCGCCACAAACAATCTCTCAGGGCTGGGTCTTGGTTGCATGGGTGACCCGGTGCCCTCTCACTGCCAGTGCTGACACGGAGGGCAAGCAAGTCGAGCAAAGGCACGTCCTGCTGCAAGGCACACCTCGCTCCTGGGCAAGTGACACATGGCAGTGCTGCGCTCCCTCAGCAGCTGGCTCGGCTGGGGTGATGCTTGCACCGTGCACCCTGCACCCTACCAAGAGCTCTGGGTCCCAGCATCCCCCAGCTGAGCACCCCAGGGTGCAGCAGCAGTCAGACTGGAGGAGCAGGGCCCCTCGCCCGGCGCACACAGGCTGTTGCGTGAGCAGAGAGAGCAAACAGCCCAGGACTTTAGGGCCCCTGTTTCTCCCATTCAATGAGTTTTAATTTAGCTGCTAAGAGACGGAGAGGACAAATAAGAACAAACAATGCTGAGGAGAGCTGAAAGGCAGCCCCGGCTATGCAGCTCTCGTGGAGACGGCCGGAGCAGCCAGGAGGCACCAAAATCCTCGGCTCCCCACTGTGCAGAGCTGGAGTGCATCCCTGCAGGATCACACTGAGCTCTGCACGGGGCTGCCCCACATCGCTGCTGCAGTGCTCAGCACCCACTGGGTGCAACCCCGGCACTGTGATGTGTCTGTACCCATCCCATGTGTAATTACCCTAAAACAGCAGCTGGACCCCCCTGGAAACCATCACAGCTCACAAAAAGGGCAAAGCAAGAAGAACTGGGACAGTGTCAGACAGGTGCAAGCAAAACATTGGGATGAAAGAAGGCATTTTTCAGCACTTAGCAAGGGCTCCATGGGTACGGACAGGCTCCCAAATCCCCAGCTTGAGCTCAGCACTCGCAGCAGCAGCCCTGTCCCTCCCAGTGCAGAGCACTGCGTTCTGCTCACTTCTTGGCCACTCCACTGACCCACTTCCTCAGCACCCTGCAGGGTGCGGGGCATGGCAGGAGGCTCCCACAATTAGCTATAATTAAGAAGAGCCGATGAAGCAGCTTGGTGCAGGGCGCGGTGCGCGGGTGCAAGTCCATGCAGCTCCAGCTGCTGCCTCCCCAGCCGCTGGCCACGCTCACCTCCTCTCACCCAGCAGGGAGGTAACGAAGAGAGGTGATGCCACATAGCCCCAGGCAGAAGGAGGGCCGGGTGGGGAGCTTTCTCCCAAGTCAGGCTGTAATCATTGCCAGCACTTCTTAACCCTAGGGCAGGAGGACGCAGGTAATGCCTGCCCTTGCCCAGCCCCACGTGCAGCCTAGCAGAGGTCGCCTCTCTCCAGGACGGGATGAACCAACCTGCACAACTCAGAAGCATTAGGGTGGGACCCCTGCTGAGATCCTCAGGAGCCCCGTGTCCCATTGCAGTGACCCCCACAGCCCCGCTGTGCCACACAGCTCCAGCTGCACAGCTGGGTCGGGCTGGGTGCCAACACGACTCCAGCCCACAGCTGGCAGCTCCCTGCCCTGGGATGGTTTGTATCACACGCCTGAACTTTACGAAACCTCCCTGGGCTTTGGCTTTGAATTTCCACGGTGGAGGCAGGCTCCCCTGTAGGCATTTCTGAATAAGCAAAGCTGTGCAGCTGGGTCAGCAGTGGTGAAAAGCAGGATGGGCTGTGCTTCCTGGAGGAGCCCCGAGGTGCGATGGGGCTCAGCGCAGGAACATCAGCACCGAGGTGACCACAGCCAACCGGCACAGCAACCACACGTGGCTGGAACTGCACAGCTCTGCAGCCAATGTGTGGGCATAATCGGGCCCAGCATCGCAGCTTTGTCTTCAGAAGTGTACAAAATAATAATGATAAAGAGCTGAGGGAACCCCTGGGGAATGGTGGAGCCCCTGGGTGAGCAGGCAGTGTGTGCAGCATAGCCCGGTGCTGGCAGCTGTCTGCATTTACAGCCACCCAACCTGCTGGACTGGATCTGGGAAATGCAGGAGATAAGGGCTGGGAGATAACCGGGTCCCCTGGGGCTGCTCGGTGCAGGGGGACACAGGCTGGAGTTCCCTAACCAGGGAGGGATTTGCAGGTGGAACCCCAGGCATGTCTGGTACTGCACTCATCAACCAGCAAGCATCAGAACTCGCGTGCACGCCTGGAACCATCAGCCTTACAGAAATCCCAGAGCTGTTTGCTGCGAGGAGGGATGCAAGTGCTGCAAGAATTGCAAAGAGAGCCGCCAGGAGAGCGGCAGCATTGCTGTCATATGGCTTTCTCTGTGCCAGTCCCTGCAGTGCCACCATCCCCAGCACGTCCTGTCCCTTCTGCTCTCACCCATGTGCAGGAGCAGCTCAGGACTACCTCGGAGCGGGGCTGCTCTGACTGCCAGCACTGTCCCTCCGGACGGCCTTTCCCACAACCGCACCCTCCTTCACATTAAGCCATTTGCAAACCACAAAGCCTAAGCCTGCTTCTTGGTGGAGAGAGAGAACATCGTCATCTTTTAATTATCGGGAGGCACTCAGCCACCGAGGGGAAGAGAAGCACGGAGCCCTGCAGCTGCTAACGCGGATCCACCAGCCGCACAAAAAGAGCTTTCAACTCCTATTTGCTGAAGCATTAAAGTCTTCGGGGAGAGGACAAAAGTGCGGCGTCATTCACAACGCAGGCAATGCCCAACCAGGGCCCTGTGCTGCCAGGCCCCAGATAACCACATGGCTCTGGGGGTGTCAGCACGTGTGGCAGCGTGACCTTGCAGACCCACAGCTTGAAGCACAGTGAGCTGTGGCACAGGTACAGCTCAGCCCGTTTCCCAAACCATCCCTACCTCAGCATGGCGCGGCTGCTCCGCTCGGCAGGGACGTGGCCAGGCCAGTACACCAGTGCTGGCACCCGGTGCCCTCCTTCCCAGGTGGTCTGCTTGGCAGGGCTGCCTCCTGCATGAGAAAGCAGAGTGCTCAGCATCCCCTGCATGGGAGCTGTGAAGCGGTGGGACCCTCTGACCCAGAGCTGCTCCGGGAACAGGAGTGCCCTGGGACACAGAGCACGCAAAGGGAGGAAGGTGGCAGTGGTTGGAGCTGGGTCAGGGGAGAGAGAAGAGCTGAAGGAGTTATTACAAGAAATAGGGAGACGGTGGGAAAGGGGCTCAGCTTGGCACTGCCTTTGGTTTCACATCTATTCCAGCAGTAAGTGATGAGAAATGGAACTGAATACTTCCATCCACCTCCATGGCTTGGGGCAGGTAGCGAATGCAGGGATTAGTTCTGGGGGCTCCCAGCCCACATGTGTGTGCACAGAGTGCAATACCTGCCAGCACATCTATGGTCCCCAGTGTCATTAAAAACACATCCCCGCTGCTGACCCTGCAGCAATCCCACCTGCTGACCAATTAACCCTTTTCCTTGCTTCCTTGACACAAAGCTTGGGAAGCACAGAGGTGGGAGAGTCACCAGGCCCTGCCTGCAGCTGAGGGAGGAGCACCACAAAGAGGGGCTGAGGATGTAAGTGGGGATGCTGAACAATAAAAAAAATGTGCTGAGCAGCATGACAGGGCTGCTGGTGGGTGTCACAGAGCTGCTGCCTCTGCTGCAGCACCGAGGGCCCCAAGCAGCCGTAGGGAAGGGGTTGGGCAGGGGGTGAAGGGAACATCCCAACCCCATTCACTGCACAGAGCTCCCAAGTGGGCACTGCCCTTTGTCTGCCTGGCTTTCAGTGTACACATGGCAACGGCGCGTGCCCGCAGACATTTCCTTTGGCAGAGGCAGCAGCCAGGGGATGTTCCTGCTGCAGGACCCCACAGCCAGGCACGGCGCTTCGGGACACACCGCACCTCCTGCGTGTTCAGCTCCCATAGGAAATGGTATTGATTACAACAAGCATTAAATAATCCTTGCAGTATTGCAAGGGATTTGCTGCACAGCGAAAAGTCTGAGGGCAGCAGGAGCAGGGCAGCAAGCCTGTCCGTCTGTCCATCAGTCCACAGCCAGAGCAGCCCTGGGACAGACGCTGTGCCCCTGCAGCCTGCCTGGGACGGCTGTGGAGCAGGCTGGGAGCCCACACTGCCCATGTATGAGCTCATGTTCCACATTCAACAATGAACTGGGCTGCAGCACCCCAGACCCAAGCAAGGATTTTTCTCCAGAGCAGTGATAATGCAACCATGCTGAGGCCGCTTTCCAGGAACGCAGAGCTGAGCGTTCCCATGCAGGGACAAAAATCACTGCGTCCCCACTCCTCAGTGGGATTGCAGATCTCCAAACCCAGCTCCGTATATACCCACATCCCCAGACACTGTCCCTTCCTGGGCACTTGGGAACAAGGGATGGGGGTTGGGTTTTCCGGGTGGGCAGGGGGCTTCTGGGAAGGGAAGGGAAGCTCTGCCCTCAACTTGGAGCTGGGGGGCCCAGCACTTGTGTTTGCTGTGCTCTGCGTGCAACGGCCAACTGTACCGAAGCAAGTGGAAAACATTCCTGGAATTTGGGTTGGACCCTAAAAGGAAACGCCAAGCTCTGCGAAATGTATATAACCCTGAGCAACAGTTCCTCCCCTTCCTCTCTGTCCTCCCCGGCGTGGGGAGGGGGAGATGCCCAGGAGGAGGCTATCTGACCACCAGCTGGTGGCTATGGGCAGCCCACCCTCCTCCAGCATCCCGTGCTCCCCAGGGCAGGGTTGTTTTGGCAGGGCTGCATGTGGGCAGCGAGATGCTGGAAAGGGGCTGTGTTTTTGTAGGTTTGTTCCCGAACGCCGCGCTGCCCGTACCATCTGCTCCAGCTTGTGACCATTGGTTGCTCAAGAGAAACCCAGGTCGTCGGCAGGGCTTGTTTACTAAGAAAATGAAGGTTACGATTTCTTCCCAGGGTTGGAGCACCCGAAGGAAGGACCCTGGGAACCGGAAAAGGGAGCGGGGGGAGCCAGCGGCTGCCAGCCTCACGGCCGTGCTCACACAGCTCCGGCAGTGGCTTCCTCCCCCGGGTAGGTGTCAGGAAGCAGATGAGGAAAGAAAGCGGAGCTGCCTCCGTGTCCCCCCCGCTGCTCCCCTCCCGCACTGACCCCGAGCGAACGGGGAAACATAACCCGCCACACATTTACAGTGCGTAATACAAGCAGAAGTGGGAAATGCCTGACTCATGCATGTTTCTGGCCGCTCCGGCTGAAAGAAACCCACCAACCAGATGGCTTGGCCGGAAAAGGAGGAAATAATAATAATAATAAAAACAAAACAAAACAAGAAGTTAGAAAGAAAATACAACTCCCGCTAGGCTGGGCTTCAGGGAGCCGGGCAGGGGGTGCAGGGGCACTGAGACCCAAATGGATGAAGGGCAGGAACTGAATGCCTCATCACCTGCAGATCCCAGGAGCTGAAGCACCCCAGGAGCTGCTGCATCAAAGGGATGAAAGAAGCGGCCACTGATCATCAGCTTGCCAAAGGTTTGGGGTAACAGGAACCTGGAGGGTTCCAGTCCCACCTGGTTGTAGTTCTAGGGGAAAACTGAGAAATAGAGGGATCACCACATCTGTTTTGAAATACAAGAAACTGCTGGAAAGGCTGAGGAGAGAGAAGCGTTTTCCACTTTCTGCCTGCAGGCAGAGCAGGGCTGTCTGGCATCAGCCCTGTGTACCCCCCATAGAAGCCCCCCCAGCCCCTTGAGGTCACCTCGTGCCCTCTGCCAGGCCCCCAGCAGTGGCCCCAGGCGTCCCGCCAGCTCACACTTCTGCATCCAAGGGCCGTTGTCACCTGCAAGAGACAGAAATGTCCCCATGAGCAGCAAGCAGGGGGGGCACCTCCACTCTGCATGGTGGCAGAGGACAAGCAGCCCCCACACCTCCTTCTGGTCCCCTGGGTGCTGCCCTACACCAGCAGGAGCAGCGCAGGGCCTGGCAGCAGAGCTGCTCTTGTTCCTGAAGGTTTATTTCCAAGAGATGGGGCCCACTTCTGGGGGTCCCAGGTAAGCACTGGAGCAAATCCAGGGGCACAGAGGTGGCTGTCACCAGCTCTGGGCACTAATGAGCAGCAGAGCAGTTCCTGTGCCAGGAGCAAAGTGTCCTCATTAGGGAGGCTGCACAGCGCCAGTGGATTTGGACTTCTTAATGAGCGTGGATTTGAGGTTCAATTAGGCAGGCCATGCCTGGGGGAGGGTGGCAGGATGGGCACTGGCTGAGCTGCTGCCCATAGGGCCAGCATGGGAGCCACATCCCCACAGTGACAGCCCATGTTCGACCAGTTCCCCCTGTCACAGCACATCAAGGACTGCGGAAAAACACCAGTTCCATCTCCTTGTGCCACTGGGGCTGGTGTAGAGCCACCACCCACCACCACAGCCAGTTGTAGTGCTTTACCTGTGAACCACAGCAGTGTGCTGCCCTTCCCACAGCTGTCGGCCAGGCGCTTGACACATCCCACCAGGGCATCCATCTCACGTAGGGCAGCCCCATAGATGCCCCTGTCCCGTGGTGGGGCGATCTGCAGTGGCACGTGCATGTGGGCCAGTGCCAGATAGAGGAAGAAGGGACGGCTGCTGTCCCTGAAAGGAACAAAAGGAGAGTTCAGTGAGGTTGAATGCCTCATCACCTGCAGATCCCAGGAGCTGAAGCACCCCAAGAGCTGCTGCATCAAAGGGATGAAAGCAGCGGCCACTGATCATCAGCTTGCCAAAGGTTTGGGGTAACAGGAACCTGGAGGGTTCCAGTCCCACCTGGTTGTAGTTCTAGGGGAAAACTGAGAAATAGAGGGATCACCACATCTGTTTTGAAATACAAGAAACTGCTAGAAAGGCTGAGGGGTGAGGTGCAGGGGGTCACAGCTGAGCAGGGGATGTGGAGTGGTGGCCCTTCCTTGCAGGAGCTGCAAGCTTGCTATAGCTCATGCGGGCAAACTCTGCCACCCTGCAGGACACTCAGCCCCCAAAACACAAAGAACCACCAGTGGGGGATGAAAGCAGAGGCTGCCTGCCCCCAGGCAAGTGGGACACGTTCCCAGACCACTGCCTGGGCAGCACTGGGTGTGCAGCACCTGCCCCAGCACCATGCCGGGAGGAAGCGGCAGGACAGCACGTCTTCACTGTCAGTGAGTCACTCTTTCCCCACTGAAACCTCCCCAGTGTTGCTTCCTCTCCCCCTGCTCCCCCCAGTGCTGACCTTCCCCAGGGCACCCACATTCGGGATGAGCTCGTCCCTTCCTCCATCTCCCACGTCCTACAGCACATCAGCCATGGGCAGAACGCCCCGCATCGATGCTCCCCTTCCTCCCCTTATGCAAGAGGGGAGGCAGCAGGGCGGCTGTTTGCTTTTAAATCACCAGAGGACACGTCCTGTTTTCTTGTTTATGGCTATATTTATCTCCTCCAGTGTGGCTGCTCTTCCTCAGGGAGCTCAGAAGGGAAGGGTGGGATGGCGGGGAGGGGCTGTGATCCCTGGGACGTTCTGGTGAGGGTGCCCCATAACCCCAGAGAGAGCTGGGGGCTGCTGGGCTCCCACTGAACTGCAATTCCTTCCTTTGTCCCCTGTGCATCACTCACCTTGGGATCTCAAACTAAGAAATCTCACCCTTCCCACAACAGCCATCCCATTGCAGCGCAGAGTGGGAACCCCATGTGGACTTGAGCCCTTTCAGCACCCTGCAAACCACCAGGATTTAGGAAACACAGGGGCTGGCTGCACATTCTGCGAAGCGCTGCCTCTTTCTGCACGGCATCATTGCCTGTGGGATTTCTGACACCCTGGAACAGGGGAGCATGCTCAGCTCCCAGTGATTGCCTGCTGTCTGTGAGCCAGAGCACACCAACCTGCCCGAGCCCTGCCCTGCAAGGAGCCACCGGGCTTGATGCAAAAACCTCCTTCACCATGCAGAAATGCTTAGCATCCCCTTCACTTCTTATCATCAGCAGTGCTCCAGTGTAGCCTGTGATAACAGCTCTCATGGGGCAGGTCTGTTTTCTTGTTCTATCCAAACCACTCTGGCTCATGCCCAGAGCCCCAGCATGAGTTTGTCCCATGCACCTCCAGGGGAAGTCTCAGACCAGTAGAAAACAGTGCGCAGGGATCGTTATCCTGGCACCCCACTGAGAGCCCTGCTCGCAGGACACTCAGCCCCCAAAACACAAAGCCCTGCTCGCTGCATCTACATTTCATAGCTCAGCCCCTCTCCTGAAAACTGAGCAAACATTTAATCAATAACTTAAGACTTAATGTCCTTGGCTTTTGCTCCTGTGTTTGTTGTGCTCTAAGCGTCCTGGCCAGAGCAAAATCTCACTGAATTGCTCAACCTTGACACGACTGGTTAAAAAAACAGCGAGATGACAAATCCTGTGTTCTTTTCGTTTGCCCCATAATGAGTGAGTCAGGCAGAGGAAAACTGAAATAAACCATCAAAGGAGAGGAAAGGCAGGCACCTGTTTAATCCTGTTCTCTGTAAACGCAGATAACCCCAAGACAGTGCCCAGACTTCTCCAGATCCCTGACACAGCCCTTTCCTTACAGTCTTCTCTCTGTCTCTCCCATTTCTTTACCCCCCTATAGCACACAGACCTTTTCCAAGCCCCCCCTGCACAAGCAGCCCTGAGCTGTGCCAGGCAGTGGGCACTACCCCTCAGATGGCCTCTTACAGCACTGCAGAAAGGCGTTTTGCAAAGTCACAGCTACTAATCCTTGAATAATAGGGATTAGCATTACGAAACCCATCGGCAGGGCTTGGGGGCTGCCGTTTCCCCAAGGAGCAAAGCACCTTGGGGAGCAGCAAACCTGGGCTCCGTGTTTCCCTGCACCGCTGGGGAAAGTCATCCACGAAATGCGGTGACCCCAAGGCCTTTATTTGGGTGCAACACCCAGGATGCTGCTCACACCTCCCAGCACATGCTGCCCAGCAGCTGTCCCCTGTCACCTCTGGGTGACGCCACCATAAGGACAGCAGCACAGAAGAAGATGGGTGCTTCCCTTCACTGCTAGCCTGGATGCTGGTGCACATCCAGCCATGAAGATGCCCCCGGATGAAAGGCTGTGACCTTTGCGGTTAAACTGTGATTACAAATCCCTTTGCATGTGATTCTCTGAAGGCCAAAACACTTCTATGGGAGCTCTGTGGGACCTCGGAACAGCTCCTTTCTTACCCAGGACATCAGAAAACAAAGCCTGATCTCTGCAGATCTGCTCACCCAGCACAGCACTGCCACTGTGCAGCTGAGCTTGTGAGTTCTAGCATGTGAATTCTGGCTGCCTCAGGATGAGCAGAAAGTGCTTGCCAGCCTTGTGAGCAGGTGTGGGGAGAGGGATGTGGATGGGGTCGGTGTGTGGTGCCCTCACCTTGCCTGCTGGATGAAGCGCGCTGCCGCCTCCACGTACCGCTCCACCAGGCTGCTGAGGTTGACGGGCTGCTGGATGATGGTGAGGTTCTCAAAGAGAGGAAGGGCTACATCCGTGTAGCAGTCCTTGTTGGTGGGGCTGCAGGAAGAGATCACTGCATTATCATCACTGCAGCAAGGACTGCGATAGCTGGGAGTAGGCACAGAGCCCACTGTTCACCCAGATTTGTAGAATGGCACTGCCAAGGGTGGCAGAAAGGGGACAATGTTGATGTCCCCATGGCACAGACTGCTCCCTTCCTAGCCAGACCACCCCAGCACCCCATGCTTCACCTCTCCATGCCATCTGCAAGGAACATGAGGGAGACCATAGCAGGGAGCAGTTCATGGGACTGCAGCTTGCAAATCCCAAATCCCAGCATTCAAATTGCCCCATGCATGGTGTGTTTTCACCAGAGCTGTACCTGGTGGCTGCGCTGTGCTGTGGGCAGGGTGGGCAGGGTGGCACGTTGTAGCCAGGGGTGTCTGTGCAGCCCATGTCATGGCTGTAGGGGATCCCAAAATAATAGTCGAACCCTGCAGGCAAGGTGGGGGTCAGTGGAGGCCAAGTGAACGCTGGGCACTCATCTCAGCTCCACCATGTCCTTACCACGAAAGATGGGGTGGTGATGGCCGTGGTGCCCCAGGTGCCATTTGCCTGCGTGGAAAGCACAGAGAATCATTTGGGTGGTTAACTCAGCCGTGGGTGCTGCCATCACCAGTGAAAACCCACACGGCACAGTGCAGGATGTTTTAATCTAGCAACAAGAAAGGCCACTTGTTTGTGCTGGCTGGATTTCTTTTTACAGAAACGCAGAAAAAAACGCCAAAGGTATCTCATGTCCGTCCAAATCAACCATCTCCAGCTTTAAAAGGCTCTTTCATGTGTTTGCGTTCAGACGACACAATTTCCTAACCCATCCCAAAGAATTGGATTCATCCTCTGATCTGCAGTGTCCCAAGGCTTGGCTGCACCTAGCACATTGCTATCAGAGGGGAATAGCAACAATTAATGGGGAGAAGAGACAGCAAGGGCTTCTGTGCCGATGCAACCCCAACACACACGTGTTCATGGGGAGCTCCACGTGCAGAGGACTCATCACCACCTGATGCACTTTCAGACAGGTCACACTGCACTGTGTGCACAGGAGGGTGCCCAGCATCATGGCCCAGCAGCACAGAGCATCCCAACCCGCACTGCCAGCCCCTGGGGCATCACACTCAGCATCACACCCACCCGGGGCGTGCGAGGGCAGCGTTGCTCTGCACACTCATGTTTTCTCAGGAAAACTCAGCGTTCCCATTGAAAGGTTAAGCAACTTCAGATTCCCAGGAATCCTGGGGCAGGCCCAAACTTCAGGCTTTGTTTGAATATGAATATGAAAATTAGGGATTGCAAAAAGAGAGGGGAAAGTGCAAAATCTCTCCCACCTGATCCTTTAGGTGCTGGCACTTGCCCTACATACCCACAGCACTTTCTTTTTGGGTACTTCATCTCAGCCACAGTGTGGCTTGTGGGCGTTACCTATAGCTGCTGTGCTGTACCCTGCTGCCCGCAGCACCTCAGCCAGCGTGGTCTCATTGAGGGGCAGGCCGCCCAGCGAGCTGATGGCAAAGTTGTGGGTCACCCCATTGCGCACACCGAGGCGCCCTGTGAGCAGAGAGGCACGGGATGGTGAGCAGGTGGAGGCAGCCGAGTGGAAATCCACAAACCTGGAAAAAGAACCGAAAATAAACCTTTTGTCTTGGCTTGCAAAATGTGCTCAGCGTGAGGCTGCCCCATCCCTCCCGGCTCGCACACAGCCCTTAGGAGCCCCAGGAACAAGGGGCTGAAGCAGGACAGAGGTACCAGGGATGCTCAGAAAGGCCCAGGGTGGGGATGCACTGTTACCTTGTCCCTTCAGCAGCCAACTCATCCAAATGTGGGGTCTCCTTCGTCTCGGCCCAGTTGGCCCCCAGGTCCCCCCAGCCCAGATCGTCTGCCAGGATAACGATGAAGTTTGGCTTCCCCTGTGCCACTGGGAGAGCACAGAGCCCCATCAGCACGGCAAGCAGCAGCACAGACCATGGGGCTGGAGTTCCCATGGTGCTAACAGGGTGATGTTCACTCCAAAATGCTCCACCGGGGCCTGGCAGCATCCACAACCTCAGCTACTGACCTGGCCGAAACACCTGCTCCATCCTTCAAACACAGGCACAGCTGATACTCCTAAAACCAGCACCAGCAAAAGTGTTATTCTTACAAGTCCGACACCCTCTTTGAAGTCACTGTCACTCTACTTTTAACTTTCTTTCCTTCCTGGTAAATATCTAATGAAACACAAAACCAAACTGTTATTTTTTCCTCCAGAAGCACACTCGAATTCAGCAGCCCCTGTTGGGGTGACATCTGACAAATGGCTCTTCCTGTGTAGGGTTTCAAGCACAAGTTTGGCAGCAGGCCTTGTTCCCAGCTCTCTGCAGTGTCCCACGTGGGCAAGGATCACCGAGGCTCTGCTGGTAACTATCAGGAATCCTTTGCTTCATCAGGTAGTCGCCGCTGTGGGAACTCCTGTGCAAGAGACACAAGCAGCCATCAGGACCTGCAGAAGCTCCCTAACCCAAATCCTAACCCTAATTAACCCTAATCCTAACAGCCCCTCCATGGTCACTGCCTGCAGGGAGTGGCTCATCCAGCATTGAGGCTTTGCCTTTGATGTTGCATTTCTTGCTGCCCTGCCGCCTGGTGCACAGGGTTGAAATCATGCAGCAATCCAGACAACCCAAAAATACAATAATGCCCTGGCATTTCTAGGTTTAGAGAAGTGCAGCACTTGAAAAATGTAAGCTGGGATGGCTGCTTAGGGCAGGATTTGGCTCCAAGTGGCAAAGAGGCAACAAGAGCAGACAATCCAAAAGCCAACAGCTGTGAAACCCAGCATCCTGAGCACATGGGGACGTGCAGCCAAGCAGGACAAGAGTCACAGAGATAAAGTGTGAGGGACAGGAGGGAGGGAACGGTCACAAACAAATGAGGACAACATGACAGAAGGAAGCAGGAGAGGGAATACAATGAGCCCCATCTGTAGGCCAAGAGTTTTGTAGCTGGCAGAACAATTTATTTGCAGGTTTCGCTGTGCGTGACTTAAAAGCTTAGGGCTGTCGCTCAGATGGGCAGAATCAGGGCTTTCATCACAGCATTAGGGACAGAACTCAATTCATAATTCATTGCCCAGAGCTTTAACTCACCAGCTCCCAGCAGGGCCCTGCAGCTCTCCGTGAGCTGAGCGCTGGGTGCAGGCAGCACAGCAGGAGGAGCCATGGGCGCAGTGTCACAGGGCCATCATGCACCCCGAGCCACAGCTCAGCCCTGCACACCCAGCTGCACAACAACCAGAAAACGCCTGCAATCTCTTTGAGAAGCCCCTGGGATTCTGGGGAGGAAAGGGGCTTGAAAGCATCAATTCACCTGGGCGCGGGGAGGACCTCAGCTCCATTGCAGCTCTCTGGTTGGAGAGGACCAAGTTAAGGCTCCAATGCTCTCCTTTCCCCTACTGACTCAGGTGAACATATCTATCTAGAAACCTATGTAAGATTTCACATGCACTATCTAAACAAAAGACAGATATGGAGCTGTGCTTGCAATTCCTCCCTACCAGCACTGAATGGTTTTGGAAAGATTTGCTCCCCATGTGGGCACAAAGCCCTTCCCAGGGACCACCACCCCTCACAGGGACCAGTGCAAGGCCACCTGCAGGTGAAGGGGCTCCTATCCAGAAATGGCAGGGGAAACCACACCAGTGTGCTGCTTTAGCACAGAAGGGCTGGGGACAGGAGTGATGTGCCGGGGCTGCCAGCGTGCTGATGGGGCAGGGGGATGGGAAGTGGCACCAACACCTCAGTGCCCACTGCAGTCAATTCAGGGGGTCCAAAAGGGACAAAACTGAGCCCCCCATAGGGACGTGCTGATCACAGACAGATGTAGCTTTGCCAAGGAAGCCATGCCATAGAAGCCAGCCCCACAACCTCACCCTGCGCCAAGGATTGCCCCGCACCGCTCCCCGCAACCCTCCAAACCCCATCTTTGAGCTGCAAAGACACAAATCAAACCCGCGCGCTCTCTGCTGAAAAGGCAAAGGGGGCAAATGTAAAAATCCAGCATCTCAGAAGCTGCTCGCTAAGATGAGGGCTGCAGGGCTCTCTTGGCACACTGCCTGGCGGGGGCAACACGTCACAGCAGCCGGCCGGCACACCTACGCCTTCAGAGCATCCAGATAGCGGAGTCACCCCGGACTTGGCAGGGGCTCCTGTTTGCTTTGGGGAGGTACACCAGCGTAACACAGCTAAGAAAAACAATCAAAAGCGTTTTCAAAGGACATTCTATTCTCTCTAATTTACAGGGGGAAGTCATCCGGGCCAATATTTATACACTGCTGTCAGACAGGGAATCTGAGCTCCGATTTCAGAAGCTGTTTCCAAAAGATGTTAAGAAAGACAAATGGAAAAGTGGGACGTGACGACGCGGCATGTGCTTCCCTCCCTTGTGCCAGAGGAACTGTCCCCATCGGCAGGTCTGACCTCCAGCATTACCTGCAGGAATTGAGACTTCCTCCACTCGCCAGACAACCTGCACTGAGGTTCAGGGTGCTGCACTGCCAGCACTGTGCGGCTCGCTGTGACACCCGCTGTGACACCCGGGCAGCTCAGCTGGCTGTCAGAAAGTGAAAGCGTGCTTTTGCACGCCAGATAACGTGGTTCAAAAACAATGGAGGGGGATAAGGTGGAACCAGACAAACCAGCTCAGAAAAGCCCTACAGCCTCTGCAGGACATTGCTGGGAAAGGCAGAATAGGAAAAGGTGCCTCTGGGGCTGCGCCCAGGGATGCCACCACCACCTCCCAGCTGCCTGCAACAGAGCTCCAGCCAGGAGGATCCGCCATGTATTTATTACACATTAACCAGAAGTTTGCAGTCTCAGGGCCAGCATGCTGACTTTCACATTTTTCACATTCCTTCACATTTTCAGGCCCGTGGAGCCAGGTGACAGCTGTGGTGCTCAGAGTGTTCTGATGCCATGTGCCAGCCCCACGCACCTGGGGATGCAGTGGGACAGCAGAAACCCAAACAGCAGCTCTGCTGCTGCAAGGAGCCATCCAGCTGCTGGGATGGACACATCCTGGTAGGGGGAAAGGTTGTTTTGTTTCCACCTTACCACGTGCAGGTGTTCTATTTTCTCATTTGAACACAGCAAAGGGCAGGCAGTGCTTTGTGTGTGAGCGTTTTCACTGCTCCATTCAGCCTCCGCAGTGCAAGCAGAGCCCATTCCTGGTAACACTTGTCCTGACAGTGTTCTGAGCTGTCAGAACTCTATTCCAGGAAAAGGTTTCCGACTGGAATAGTTTATACAAGCTCCCCTCGCAGAATAAGCAGCACTGACAAAAACATACTTCTGCAGACTTACTAGGATTTCTGCCAGATCCTGAGACCGGAGAATGTTTTCCACTCATCTCACTGTTCGGTCTTTGAGGAAAAGCATTACACACACACACAGCAGTGCTGGACAGACCCGAGCTGAATAACTGAGCTCCAGGTCTCTGCCCCACATGGGCAGCACAGTGCTGGGCAAACCACTGCTTCCCAGCAGCTGCCTCCTGTCCTCCCATGGTCAGGCTTTGCTTTTCAAGGCATTCTGCAGAGCCCCATCTCAAGACCCCAAATCACTCCCCAAATCCTTGGGAAGCAGCAGGGAAAGGAACGAGAAGGCAAAGCCAAGGGACAGATGCAGCATACCGACAAGAAATACCAAGGAGCGAACGCCTTTGTTTCTTTTCATGCCAAAGATATTTGCATTCTTATTTCTCCCTTGGAGGCACAAACCTGTTTTGCTGTCCCATAAGCGCTCACACTGTCACCGCTGGGCTGAGTTACAGCTTGGGGAGGGCAACCCCAAGGTGAGGCTGTGTAACAGGAACGTGAGAGGTGCTCACCATTGGCACCGCAGGGCATTGCCAGCCACAGCTGGGACAGCAGACTCAGTGCCAAGCTGCCCTGCCAGTACAGGAGCATCAGTGAGTGGCCAATGGGCTGGTGCTGCTGCTGTGGGCTTGTGTCTAAGTTACCAGGTGAAACCTGTATTTTCTTTACCCAAGAACTCCCAGAAGTTTGTTGCCCACTAAACCAACCATTGCAATCTCCACTGTTAAAAAAAAAAAAGGCAAAGGGACTCCAGCCCAACCTAAAGCACTGGGGCTTACTGACAGGTTGGGAACTGAAGGAGCAGTTTCATTTGGGTTATTTTTCCAGCTGTATAAGCCAGAATCAACAGGTTACACATTGCCCTGGCAAAGTGCACCCAGCGCAGTGCAGGAAGGCACACAGGGCAGAGGTATGGTGTGCTCCACTGTTATCTGTGGGCAAAAGTCCTTCTCCATGAGCCCTAAGGGTGCGAGGCCCCGAAATCACCCCAGCACCATGGGCAGAGTCCATCTGTGCCTGGTATATCTGGCACACGAGCTGGGCACTGCAGCACTACTGCCTGAAGGACCCTTCCAGCCCCAGCCAGCCCAGAACACTGCGATCCCACCATTCTGCAAACAAAGGGATGCATAGCTTCCTAGTGCAAACCCAGTGCCAGGTTCTGCAAGTTCCCACCGGGCAGAAGTGATGGAGCAAACCCAGACCTTCTCCTGGTAATGCTTAATGCTGCTCCCCAAAGGCACTGCCTGCTCCCCTCTACCCTTTTTATCACATTTTGTGCTGAGTCCCCAGTAACTGGACCGGAGATGACCCAGTACCATGGCTGGGACACACCTCCCTGCCCCAATTAGCAAGGCTGGAGACTCCAGTAGCACACCTGGAGACCCTCCTGGTCAGAGACCCTCCAGCACCAGGTCTGGAGACTCCCAGTAGGATGGCTGTAGACCCAGCAGCAGTGCTGGGGATCTCTTGATAAGAGGATCAGGGACCCCCCCAGTAGCAGGGGTGGAGATCCCAGAGTAACAAGACTAGGGATCACCCAACACCTGGGCTCGAGACCTTCTCTGTAACAGGGCCAGGGACCCCTCCAGTAAGAGGATCACAGACCCTCCAGTACCAGGACTACGGACCCAGCTGGGCTGGTGTCTCCCCAGTACCAAGGCTGGGAATCCCCTGCAGCAAGCCTGAGGATCCTTACAGTAACAATGCTAGAAACCCAGCAGCAGGTCTGGGACACCCCCAAAAAAGAGAGGCAAAGACCCTCCGCACCCAGAGCCGTGACCCAGGGTCGGGGGCTGCCCCTAAACAGCCTCAAGGCTGGAGAACCCCCGGTACGAGGCTCAGGGACCCGCTATTAGCCGGGCTGGGGACGGTCCCGGTGCCCCCCCTCTGCCAGCAGGTGCTGTGCCGGCCCGGCGGTGCGACTCTCCCCCCACCCCTCCGCACCCTCACCTCCCCCCCCCTCCGAGGCGCGCTCCCAGCACCGCCCCTCCGCGGCACACGCGGTACCGGCGCCGCCGCTGGGGCGAGCCGGGCCCGGCGCGCACATGGCGCTGCGGAGCCGCCGGCGGAGACCGGCTCCAGCCGGTATATAAGGGGCTGGGAGCGAGCGCAGAGCAGCCGCCGCCGCGGGCAGCGGGAGCAGCGAGCGGCCGCCGGGCAGCGGGGCACCTCGGCACCTCCTGTCGCCGCCCCGCCGAGGGTCTGCCGGCATGGGCAGCTCGTAGCCCCACTCCTCGCCCCGCCGCAGCACCCAGCGCCGCCCGGTGAGTGGGCTCCCGGGCTCGGGGAGAGGGGGGCTCGGTTGGCTTTTTTTTTAAATTATTTATTATTATTTTTTTAATAGATATATATTTTTTTTCTTCCTTCCCACCCCCCCCTTCCTGCTTTTCCGCATCCCTTTATTTTTAGCCGGCGGCCCCGGCGCTGCAGAAACCAGGTCTGAAATGTTCGGAAAGTGATGCAGGGAAGGGGGGGCACGCTGCGTCCCTCGGCTCCGGCATCTTTAATTTTTTATTCTCCCCGCATGGTTCACCTTAATTTCTTTTAATTTTTAAACGCACGTTATGCACGTTAAGGTTGGTGTTGTTTTTTTTTTTTTTTTTTTTCCCTTTTTTTCCTGCTTTAATAGCGTGCTTCCTTCCCATCTCCTCTCCTCGTGCCATGACACAGGCATCCAGCGCCGGCCCCTCGGGAGGGATCACGGCACTTCCCACAAACTTTGGGCACCGCACGGCGGTGGTCGTGTACCCCTTTTCCCCCTCCCCCCTCTAACCCGGAGGGATGCTGGTGGCAAATCCCTCCCCCCCGCCTCGGTCCCGCACCGGCCGTGACCCACCTGGCGGTGCCGCAGAGTGTGGCGGTGGGTGCTGGGGTGGGGGGGGAAAAGGGGGTATGGGGGGTCCCAAGGGGCCGCCCACTGTCACGGTCGGGTGCCGCCCTGCCCGCTGCCGGGTGAGAAGTTCCCCAGTGGGATGGGGAAGCGCTGCCGGAGCCGCCCAGGGTTCAACCGAGCGTAAAATGGAGGAGGGAAATGCCTCGGGGGGGTGGGGGGTGCCGTGCACCGGTGGCCCCTCTTGGGTGACGGCTGCAGGCGGCGCCGGGACCGCGTCCCTACGGGCAGCGCAGGTGTCGCGGTGCAGAGCTGAGCCGGGGCCGCGGGGCTGGCCGTGCTGATGCGCACGGGGATGCGGGGGCTCGGCAGCCCCGCAGCGGTGCTTTTGGGGTACAGGTGTGCTCCCGAGGAGTTGCCGAATGCCGACAGCCGCTCGATGTGACGTTTGGGGGTTTTAAGGAGCAGCGGCTCGCTGCGGTGTGCCGGTGTCATTGATCGACGCTGCGGGGAACGAGAGGCACCCCGAGGTGCGGGCGGCCCCGGGCTGTCACTGCCCAGCGAAGGGCTGCGGATGGGGAGGTCGGGCGCTGTCGGGAAGCCGTGCAGCCCCAGCAGCCCTCTGGGTGCCGCGGTGGATCTTTCACGAACTGCATCCATCCCGCTGTGCTGGAACGCAGCTGATCGCTGGGTTTTGCTGATGGGAACGGCTCAACCCGGTGCTGAGCGGAGAGTTTCTGGTCCTTGGTTCAAAGGGCGCGGGTAGAAATGGTCCCTCTGGGACTGTCGGGGGAGGAACTTCAGCCCGACTCCTGGATTTAATTCCTCAGCAGCACGGGGACTGCCTAGCAGCTCTGGCAGCTGCTCAGCCATGCCTTGGTAAGCAAAACTCATCTCGAGCTGATGCCTGGTTTGTTCTCTCCTCTTTTCCAGATCAAAAATGACTGTCAAAGCTGTAAAAATGCCGTGCACCACTCCAAATGTTTATACTAAAGTGCCTGACGGAGGATGGGGCTGGGCAATTGCTGTGGCTTTCTTCTTTGTGGAAGCTCTTACATATGGCGTTATAAAATCATTTGGAGTCTTCTTCAATGACCTGATGGAAAGCTTTGATGAAACCAACAGCAGGATATCGTGGATAATATCCATCTGTGTGTTTGTGCAGACCTTCACAGGTAAGAGTAAAGGGCAGGAGCCAGAAGGTGCAATTCTACTGCTGACTCAGCATGTGGAGGCCAGGGATCAGGGACTTGTGCCCCAATGGCTCCATGATAAATCGCAGCCTCCAGGCTTCGTGGCTGTTTTCTGAGACACCACCAAATGGCTGCCCCAGCCCCCTGCTCTCCCTGAGCTACAGCTCCTGCGTGGCACAAGGACGTGGCCCTTGGCCCAGCTGCTCAGCTCTCAAAGGAGATGAAACTCCGACAACAGAACATCAAAACCTGACTCAGTGGTAGAAAAAGATCAAAATATAACCCGAGCTTTATCAAAACTCATTTGCTCCTGCTGGTTTGTTCCAGGCTGCCCACCCATCCTGGTCTCTTCTGGTTCTTATCCCACCGCCACGAGCTGCGTGGTGCTGCAGGAGCGATGCTCTGCTATGCGAGCAGATGGGGAGGTGGCACACGGAGGGGACAGGGGTATCTGCAGGAGGTGGCTGGTGGTGGAGCTGCTGGTTGTGTTGTTGCCGACTTGTGCTGATCACAGCTCTCTTCCCATCCAGCTCCTCTGTCGACGGTGCTCAGCAACCGCTTCGGTCACCGCTTCGTCGTGATGGCTGGAGGGGTGCTGGTCAGCACCGGCATGATCACAGCCTCCTTTGCCCACAGTGTTGTTCACATGTACATCACCATCGGCATCATTTCTGGTGAGTTCCCCTCTTCTCAGATCTGCCATACGCTTGGCTTGCTCCTGCTGCTTCCAGCGAGCTCTGATGGGGAACGCTGCCACGCTCGGGCAGGAGCTCTGACTGCTGGGAGAGCTGGGCTCAGAAACGCCCTTCGTGGGATCACGTTCTCTTTTCCTTTTTCTCCCTGTTATTTTTCCCTTGTTCCCATCTGGCCTGGGTGTCCTGCTCACATCTGCTGTCAGTGAGCTTGCCTCGCTTATGGGAGCGATTGCTACAGGCTGAGTCCTTGAGCAGATGGGGTCCTCCAAGTGACGCTGCTGGCTGTTTGGGAACAGGTTTGGGGTTTTGGGCGTTTTGTTTTTTCTTGGGTTTTGCTTTTGTTATTTTTCTCTCTTCCAATTTAAAAAAAATAACATTCTGGTTTCCCCAATGATTTTTTTCCAGGGTGACTTGCTGAGTTGGCCGAAATGATACTGTGTAATCTCGCCATGGGGAAAGCTGACTTAACGTGTTCTCGCATCGGTGTTTCCCCCTCCCTTACTTGTTGTTATGGCAATTTTTGGCATTTATTCACAGGCCTCGGGTACTGCCTCTCTTTCCTCCCGACTGTCACCATTTTATCACAGTATTTTGACAAAAGACGTTCGCTGGTCACAGCAGTGGCATCTACAGGGGAATGTTTTGCTGTCTTCCTCTTCGCACCAGGTATAGTGCCGGAACGCCATGAATTCATGCATGCCTAAAGCACAGCACTACTCTGATCTTTCTCCCAACAAAATGGTGCACACTGGCCTTCCCGTGAGCTGCTGCAGCCCATGGGTGGTTGCTCATGCCCTGCAGGCAGGGTTACAATAATTCTGGAGGGCTGAGAACCATGTCTGACACCCTTTTCTGTCCCAAGGAGCTGTGCTGCAGGGATACCCACATCCCCAGCACAGGGGGCACAGTGGGGAGCTTGCAGCTGTCTTAGGCCACAGCAGGGAGAGGGGAAAAGGCACAGCCAGGTGCTGGCAAGGGCTGGGAAAAGGGCTGAGCTCACCCAGCATCACCAGGCAGAACAGGACATGCTACACTGATACACAACCTGCTGCTTCCCTATATAGATCTCGCAGGCTAAAAATAAGACTGAGAAACTTCAGCTATTTAAAACATAAGGCAGTACGAATCACAAGCCCACTAACCTTTAGGAGCAGTCCTAAGCACAGGAAAGTGACACGTCCCCATCACCACCTGCTCCCCACCAGTGTGTCACAGCTTCAGAAGCCATTCCCCCCCACTTCTGATGGGTTTCTGATGTGCATGCTCGCTTCCAGCTAATACCCATCACAGAGCTTAGCTGATTGCAGATGAAGGTTTGTAATGAAGCAGCTACATGCACCTTAGAGCGAGGCTAACAGACTTCCTCTAGTAGCTGGTTTCAGGGTGGGGTCAGCTGTAAGAGGAAACTCAACATTTGAGTTCACTTTCATTCACTAAAAATAGCACCACCTATGTCCTTGCGCATCCCCAGCTAGCTGGGACCTCAGAAGATAGCCTCAGCCCGGTGACAACCCAGAAGATGTTTAGAGTTGGAAGGGACCCTTAAAAGTCAACTACTCCAACCCCCCTGCAATGATCAGGGTCACCTACAGCTCAGTCAGGTTGCTCAGAGCCTTCCTTAGCTGTAAATTCAAATAGCTGCTTGGTGCAACTGCAGGGATTTCTAACGATGCTCTCTCTTTCTGCTTTCTTTCCTCAGTAAACACTCATTTGAAGGAGCAGATTGGCTGGAGATACAGCCTCCTTTTTGTTGGGGCGCTGCAGCTGAGCATTGTCATCTGTGGATCGCTGCTGCGACCCATGATAATCAAAGAGCAAGAAGAAGAAGAAGTGAAGGCGCAGCCTCCAGAAGAGCCTGCAGAGACAAAGTACATGCTTGAAAACGAGCAAACACGCACCTCAATAGAGTCCATAGACTCAGGAGTAGAAATAACTACCTCACCCAAAAATGTGCCTGGAAACACCAAAGCAGAGCCGAAAAGTGAAGAACCAAAGGACCATGTACAGATAACTGTTGAAAATAACAGCAACCCTACAGAACCAAAAACCAAACTACTGGACTTCTCTGTGATGAGAGACTATAGCTTTATCTGTTATGCATTCTTTGGCCTATTTGCTACCCTGGGATTCTTTGCTCCCTCCCTCTATGTCATTCCCCTGAGCCGCAGCCTTGGCATCAGCAAAGACCATTCTGCATACATACTGTCTGCAATGGCGATTGCAGAGGTCTTGGGCAGAATTTCAGCTGGCTGGGTGCTCAACAAAGAGCCCATCCGCAAGATCCACATCGAACTCATCTGTGTCGTTCTGCTGTCTGTAGCACTGTTTGCCTTCCCTTTTGCCTCTGAATTCTGGGGGTTGATGACATGTAGCATATTTTTTGGGTTCATGCTTGGAACGGTAGCGGGCACACACATCCCGCTGCTGGCAGAAGACGATGTGGTTGGCATTGCAAGAATGTCTTCTGCAGCTGGAGTCTACGTCTTTATTCAGAGCTTCTCTGGGTTGGCTGGCCCACCCCTCGCAGGTAACTAACGCTTTCATTGTGGGGTTGTTTGGTTTGTGGTGGGTTTTTTTTTGGTATGTTTGACAGATGGCTCATCTAGAAAGCATTCTGCTAGCCATAATCATAGAACTGCCCTAAAGACCTGCAGCTAGCACGAGGAGACTCGGAGCCAGAAGGCTGCTGCAATGCAGCTCTGCAGAGTCCCACAGATGAAGCAGTCTCCACCGAGGAACCTCAGAGCAGAGAAAAATACTGCAGTGCAACCCTGATCCTGTCAGACACCTACTGCTGGCATCGCTTCAGGCTGTAGTGAATGGTAGAAGCAAACTATTTGCCCTATGCATGTGTTTTTACCATACTCAGCCAAAAAAACAGACTCTCATAATACAGAGATGCCTAAAGTATTGCAGTCCTAGAGAGACTGCAGTGACTAATCCTCTGACTTGTCTAGCAATGACACACAGAACACATTCTTACTGCTAATTTTAAAGTAACATCTATTTGTCATTAAGTGCCGTTTCCTTGCAATTAATGGTGCTGTTGTACCTGGATTAGAAATGCTATGGGAGGGATGGGCAAGAGCGTGGGGGGCAGGTTGTGGCTAACTGATGTATTTTCTATAGGTGTCATAGTGGACAGAACACAAAACTACAGCTCAGCCTTCTACTCCTGTGCTGCTGGCACGGTCATGGGTGCTGTGTTTCTGTCCTTGGTGAGACCATGCAAGGTTGGGATGTGCCACCAGCAGCCACCGGGCACAGAGGGAAGCGTGGTGGAAGGCACACAAGACTCACCAGAGGACTTCATAGACATGGACATTGGAAAGGCAGATCATTCAGGAAAAGGCTCTGACAGCGTGGCTTAAAAACCACTCCTCTACCAAGCATCCTTGGTGTAAGACTACGGAAAACGCCAACTCTGCTCCACATTTTAAAACTACATTCTAAAGGGAATGTGAAATTTTAAATGTGAACAGAACAGTTGCTATCAACAACTTTTTTTTTATTCTTAGAAAAAACTTTTTTAAAACCAATTGAAAGCTCCATAGAAAGCCACAAAAGAGCAGCTCCTGCCTAGCATGAAGATGTGATGCACACTCCTGCTTTCCAATACCACCTGTAGCTGAAGTCTTGACCGATTCCATGTGAAAAACTGAAGAGCAGAATCAGCCCATGCAGCTCAAGCCAGCGGAGCAGTCTGACTGTCTCCATTCCATGCTGCAAGTCCTGTGCAGTCCTGAAACCAATTACACTAACGAGAAAAGAGTATTTCATGCAATACCAGTAGCCAACTGCATTTTCTTGCAGAAGAGTTTGGACTGATGTTTCAAATTTGAGGAGGAGGCCAGGCTGGATAGCGGCTTAATACATTGCAATTATTCTTCTAATTAACTTGAATGTCACAAATGCTGGGAAATTGGAGGTTCCATATGTCTTTATGGCCAGTTATTACTGCACATGTATCACAATAAGGTCATTTTTCTTCTCCTGATTGATTTTTTTTTTTTTTTCTTAACTATTTTCTATTCGTTTTCTGTTTATAATTTAACTATTTATTAATTTATTCTGATAGTTAAAGGACATTATTTTAAATAACTGGAGAGGAAAAATTATCTTCTGCATAGTGGGAAGCTGTCTTTACGTTAGTCTTTTCAATACCTATATTGTATTGCTCGCTTGTGAAATCATTAGGAAACTTAATTTTACAGCGTAGTTGTTTTTAATAGGTAGGTCTTAGGTAGCCCAATTATTATTTAAAAGACGATGATGATAATAATAATAAACTGCAAATTCAGCATCTCTTTCTGTAAGGCCTCAGCTGCTGGCAGCAGATCTGGCTGCCCTGCCATGACCAGATCACTGCGCAGGGAAGATCCGGCCCAGCATGTCTTCAACCATGTCTGAATGTACCCCAAAGTTTCCCCTCTAGGTGCACCAAGGTCTGTGCCACATCACTGAATGAAGGCAGGTTGGTGCCAGCAGTGCCCCTTCCTCCCCCACTCGGTGAGAGGCTCTTTGCTGCTGCCTTTAGGGAGAAATGAACTGGAGCCCGTGTGCATTTAATCTGTAAAAGGAATCGTAAGACAAAGTAGTAGCTGTTCATGTAGTCTTAGTGGGAGAGGCTCCCGGTGACACAAGCTTGCTTACCCCACCTATATGCATCTTAATGCCTCTAGGCAACTCAGGGGGATCAATAAAACGAGTCTGCTTCGGTTCGATGCTTTGGAAAAAAAAAAAAAAAAAAAAAGCATTTCTGTGCATTTAAGTGGAAGTGGCATCATGCATTAACTGCTACACTGACACGTCTGTGTATTCTACCAGCCATAGATATGTGGGACAATCTGTTAAACTCCTCTTTGGGAAGGTGCTTGATTTGTTTTTCTGTCTTAGATGTCCAAAAATGATACAGGCACTCGTGCAAACCCGTTGGCTGCAGCAGCTCATTGCCGCTGCCTGGCAGCTGTCGTGTCCACGCTGCATCTCGTGTCTTTCTGTGCCTCAGCACTTTATCAGCCCCAGCAGAACCTCACGCCAAGGACTGGAAGACCCCTCACAGAGGACTCATGCATTGTGAGTCGACGATCAAATGTGTCGCGTTTCGATGTACTTTTATTTATTGTTAATTTATGATACTTCAAGCACGTTGGTAAATGTTCTGTAGCCTCTAATTGTAAGGTTATCGAAGTCTTTGTAACAAGAGACCTCACTACAGCACTTTGCATTACAACTCTGCTTGAAAGTGGAATAAGGCCTCCAGGTTCTGTGTGTGTGTGTGTGGAAGCTCTCCGTTCTGCAGATTTACGAGGTTCTACTGTAATATTCTTGTTTTTTACAACCGTTTCCAATACAGCTCAAATCCTACATTTGTCACTGACCTCACAGCACGTTTCTGTCCCGGCTCCAGCAGGGCAGCACGGCTGTGCTGGCCCGGCAGGTGCCAACGAGCTCAAAGCAGGATTTACTGATTTGTTTGTAATGTATCTACTGGTCTCTGGAAATACTCTAAACACTGAGTTTTTTGCAATAAACTTGTTCTTTTTTTTTTTTTTAACTTTTTTTTTTTTTCTTTTGAATTATGAAGAACCTCCCTCTCCTCCCCAGGGCTGCTGCTGCTGCTTCCCCTGCCAGGAAGGCTGTGCTGCTGCACATCACTTCCTGGGGCTGAAGCACTGCCCTGCAGCTTGGGCAATCCCACGTTCTATAGGAGCTGCTGGAAGCTGGTAGCTTAGTGCTGACCTCAAGGGTACTCTTGTCAACCCTTATAGCACAGGCCTGATTGTGAGCAGCTGCTGCTGCTGCTGGGTGTGAGTGGGAATTGAATTGGTGCTACTCAAAGAGGTGATCTGCATGTCTTCAAGAAGCAGGCAATCATGTCATTATTATATCATCTCTCTCAATTGCAGAATGCTTTCTATTTGCCAGGCTAGACAGCTTGCATATCAGAAACCAAACTAAGAAACACCAGGGTAGTTGCACTAGGTGACAGTTTTCTCCCCCTCAAACCTCACTTCTCTTTATACCAGTTGAGATTATGTCCTCCCTCTCTTAGTCTGTAACTCCCACAATCGCCAACCCCTGCAAAGAGTACTACAGCATCATTCCAAATGTGAGTGCATATATTCAATTTGCAAATTAACTACTTGCTGAAAGCCTCATCGCACCACTGATACGCACTAATTGCAGTTTGCTTTCATTCCAGTTGCAAAAGTTCTAGAGCAGAGATGATGATATGTGCAAGCAGAGCAGACAGCACAAATACCAGAGTGCCAGGAAGATCATCAGTCTCCAGATCTGACTCTGGCTCAGTTACAGCAGTGAACAAACATTATTTGCAACAACTTCCACAAAAGAACAACAGAAGAGCTTTACAAAGGCTGCACACGCTGCTCCCGTACTTAGGTATAAGAGCACATAAAGCTGTAACATTATCACATGTCTCCCAGCACACAATTTTGAGTAATTCTTCCCACCTGGTTTAAATTAATGGCCCATGACCTCCTCTGTAATCCTGGTCTGAAGGCTATGAATACCAGAGTAAAATAGAATAAAAGCACTTCTGCTCAGGAGCTGTATATCTCATACGAACCAGTAAATAGGAGGACAGCGTGGGAGAGAAGAGCTCACTTCTGCAAGCCTCCACATTCCCTTCAGAAGGGATTGTACAAGCTCTGTAGCCATCTCACCAATGAGGGCAATGCCAACCAGATGTAAGCACAGGAAATTACAAAAGGGCAGCTTGCAGAGGGCAAAAAACACCAGCCATAGGTGTCTGTCCATCCTAAAGCAGAAAGCTGTCTTGTTCCTTGTTTGGGGGAATAGAGGTCTTTAAAAAGAAAGCCCCTTTCTTTTCCCCCATTGAAAACTAAAAGGAACAGCAACCTGTTGGCCTTTGTCGCTTGTTTTAGATGAGTAACATCAGGTACTCAGAGGGAAAAACGTCTTTAAAAACAGCTAAACTGGTTTGGGAAAAAAAAAAAGTGAAGTAGGTGCTTACAAAACAACACAAGTGTTTTAATGATTCCCTTCAGATGTTAGTTGTTAGCATGTGAGATCATTGTTTTCCAGCTGCCCATAGTAAACATGACCTGAATTTTCACACTGATGCAAGCACAAAAAGCAATCCTTCTCCCTCCTCAGAGCTCACCCTGAAGATGTCTCAGAGCTCAGTTTTAGAAAGGCTCATGTAACTGCTGGCTTTGTTTAAAGAGCAACAAAGAGCAAAGCGCTGTTTTCAGAGGAGTTACTTTCTACTTGGTGACAACCGGGTAACACCGAAAGGCAGAACCCCTCCTTTGCACTGGAACACCACACCAAGAGCACGTGTTTCCCTTTGGCCAGAGATGCTTTGCACAGAAATCTGCCCGCTGCCCATCAGCACTGTGAGCACAGACCCACAGGGGCCTGGGCTGGAGAGAGAATGGTTCCCTTTAGTGTAGTGCTGCTGCAGGAGGCATCCAAAGATGCTCTCAATTAAAGAACCCTGTTGTCAGCTGAAGTTTATGTACCTCCTATGGGTTCAGGCAAACTCCAGGGTTCCTGGCAAAGATATACAGAGTTTTTCCCTTCCCACTGCACTCGCACAGACTTTTATTTGCAAGATGTGCAAGCCCATAGCCTACGCTAGCATAAAGCTCTTTTTTTTTTTTTTTCCCCTGCAAATTGCAGTAAGTCATGCAATAAATCAAATACAACCCCCCACCCTCTTTCCTACAGCAGTTGTCAAGCCCCAGTTACGACAATTTGTGGTAAAATATTACTCACCAGCATTTTGGCCTGTGTGAGAAGCTCTGCCTCTGTAAAGACAGCCCCCTAAATCACTGCTTTGTCACAGAAGCCACAAGCGTAACCAAAAGACTTATTACACGCAGACGTTATGAGAAGAAGGCCAACAAGACAATAGTTCCCCCTGCTTCCTTTTTGTCAAAGCTTTCACTAATGTTGTGAATGGCTTTTGCTCCTCGAGCTGCTGCCGGCTGCTTGCTGCAGGCTGCCCAGCCTTTGGGCACTGTGAGCATTGCTGGGAGCTTGTGCCAGAGCCTCACCATACCCCTCTGCTTTGAGCACCAGAACAAGTTAGCAGAGGGCACGTGAAGTCACCACAACCTGCACAGCAAGGCTTCTTTGCATTTGGCCATTGATGTCTCTCCTGTGCTGAGGACTCCACGTTTGGATGCAGTGCTCCAGGTGAAGGCTCACCAGATAATCTCACGGAGATAATCTGCTGCAGAATGATCCGAAGACCCGAAATAACCAGAGACATGGTTTGTCTAAGGACTGCGGGAGTTGGGCACAGGGAAGCAACTGCAGCAGGGAGAGGGGTTTTGGTTCTCGTTGCTCCAGCAGCAGCATTGCATGGCGAGCAAAGCACTCCCCAGCTCTGCCCTGGGCACTGAGCAGGTTCCCCAACCCCAGCACAGCCCTGCTCGTCCTCACTGTGTGCAATGGGGGAAGGTTTCCTGCGGTGGGGTTACTGTGAATTGATGACTAAGTAACACAGTGATGGGTGCCCAGGTGACCTGAAGAATACACAGACATTTCATCACCTCTGGCATGATCCATTTCTGACACTGTCCCTTGGACAAATCCACTGCTGAGGCCAGTTTGAGTTTCAGCCACTTCCAGACACAACATTTGAGCAAAGTCACTTAAAACCTTCCCCTCACATGCCTGCTTCTCTCTGTTGGTGTCAGCATACCCTGGGAATGCATCCTGGCTGCAGACAGCAGTGCTTTGGGGACACCTCAATTCTCATGGGCACTGTTATTCACGACTCAGCACTGGCAGCCAGGAGCTTGCACAGTAAATGCTGCACTCTGCATTCTCCTAGAAAGCCAGCAGCAGGTGTAAGGAAAGAGACTGCTTGGTTTGCACAGAGGGGAGAGCAGGGCAGGATCCAGCAGCAAAGACTGTTGGGGTGCACCCACAGCAGGACTCCTCTGCTCCACAAAGGCAGCTGTGTGCTACAAGCCAGCTTTTGCTGAACTTTGCATTGTGCATGCCAAGAAACTTGGCATTTG